CGCGCTAAAAGAGACCTCTAGCGACGGCAATGAATGATACATACAGTTCATGCATGCATTTGATTCGATCTTCTGTCGTTTTGGTGAATTTCTTTTCTCTAAAACCTCTATAGCTATGCGCTTTTTTTCAAGACTTTGTTCTCCATTCTGGTTTGTTCGTAATGTCATTACGCCAAATAAAGGGCCGCAAAATAGGTCACTGGACATTGCTTTAATTCAATATTAAAAGAAGAATGTATCAATTTACGGTAAAGTCCAAACAAGTCAAAACCATCGAATGAGAGGTTGAATGAATGAATAAACGAGTAAACGAATGAAAGAAGAGATGAATAGATATCTCTACCCGTAGAATCTACCACATCGCAATCTCTACCATGGCGCATACAGATTTTGCTTGATGTGAATGCAATTGTATGAGAGTTATTGTATACTTCAGAGCTCTAGAAGTTCGCATTTCCCTTGTTTATTAGAGAAAAAATACATTTTAACATTGTAAGTATTTTCATTGTATCCCCATCAGCCATAATCTTAACTGTGTAGGCTTAAAAACGAAGTTCATAAAATTGTTATTGAGGGCTAACTTCGGTAATACTCTAGCCTGCTCTGGGCTGATGTTTATTGATACCTAACCTGTGTCAACAACGTGCATTCGTCCAATATTTCAAAGTGATTGATATGATTTCACCCGACAAATGATATATCCTGAGTCGTTATTTTGCAATAAAAAGCGTGTCTGAACCGGACAAGTAGACATGTGCTGCAGTAACGTACCCTCCAAGCAGAGGTAGGGTCGCTAAAACCGTAAAAGTAGAAAGACGTATTAAAAACGCGAAAATACTGCCAAAATACCGAGCGACCCTACCTCTGCTTGGAGAGTAGCAGTAACGAACGTATCAACAGGTGGTTGCTAAAAGGTGTCATGTATCAAAAGCGACGCCCTGTGACCAGAATCGGTATTGCAGCAGGTGAAAAGTTCCTTAAACCTTATGTTAAGCAATGGAGGCAAAACAAATCACGTGATTTTTACCTCGCAAAAACGTGAACCAACAATAGTACGTCCACTTCGTTGGTGCTATTTAATCATGTGAAACGAATAAAAAGTAGTAGAAAGCTGACTTCTATCATGCTTCTATGAAGTAATGCAGAAAGCAACCATTGAAAGCAAAAACGTCAAATAAATTGTCCAAGGAAATCTCTCTCATGGATTCATTAGGGCCTAATACAAAAATCACAAAACTTACCAATAGCTAATTCTGACAATCAGGCTACTGATATGCAACAAAATGACGATAGAGAAAAAACAAACACGTCATACAAAATCAGCTTGATGAAAAAAGCAAGGTAACAAATGCTTAAGACATTAGAATTTCAGAGCTGATTATTACTTATAATTTATTATAGTCTGCAGTCGTAAAACTATGCCAAGAATAACGACTTTTTATGCATATGTATCTGCCTATCAACAAATCAGAGATAGAGGTACATGCACTGTCCGCAGATAGTTTAGTGAATGACGTCATTTCTGACATTTTACTTTCCTACTCTTTCATACAAACGCAAATTGCATTCTTTTAGACGGAAAAAGATTTGGTACACAATGTACAGTTAGCTATATAGATCGTAACAAACTTTCATTGTAAGAAGGTTAGGGATAATGTCATACCGGATAGTTGGTCGATCTTCACATCACAGTTGAGTAGACACGCGAACGGTGAGTTGTTGTTGTCAGTCGGCTCTCAACAACGATTGCGCAATCGTTCGTCCTTCGTCGAAATAACTCCAAAATTCCTCCAGAAAGGTTGATATTCCAACAAAAAGGCGGTTTGAACGCATTCTCTGCAAAGACACAATGGGATCTGACTCAATCCAGCGGTGACTAACAATCTTGGGTCCTCTATTCCAGAGAATTTTGCCCACATGCGGTCTTGTTTACATTTTCGCTCCGCGGTACGTCACGTGTATTTTTCCTTCCTTCCATATATATTTGCCGCACAATAGCACAAAAATAATTCACAATTGCTCCACAAAACGCAATTCAAGACCATGCTGAATTCCATGAGTGTAGATTCCACAGGGAATTCACAAAAAATCCAGGTACACGCGGTCGCTGTCTTGTCAAGGAATTTTGTAAACATAAACTGACTTTTAGCAACTGCGTCACACCTAACTCTATGGCGCATGCGCTGGATGTATTTTGTGTAATTTGCAAAAAGTACGCGCGCGCTCATTGGACGATATAACCGTTTCTCTTATGACGTAGAAATGATGCGTTTTGTTTACAATAAGGTTATTATTGTTATTTCATTTTATGTTGCTGGACTCCAGCTGGAAGAATACTATGGAATTTACCATACTAATGGAGATCTTAATAAACAAACAAACAAATAAGGCTTGGTCTGAAAAATATGTATGTATGTACGTATGAAGAACAACGTTTCTAAACATTTTCTTTAAAAAGTGAGATCTCTGCTTATACATTTGTATTAAATCTATATCATATACTTACTACATAATGGTGGCAACGCTAGTACAATTTAGGGAGGCCTGGGGGGCTCCGATTGGTCTAACCGAACCCATGAGTACAATTTTAAGGCGCTACATAAATTATGTAAATAGACCAATCCCATAGCCCCCCCGCCAAATGTGTTACAAGGCCATGCAACTGCGCTCTCATTGGTCGAACCACTAATTACCACACTGCCATTGGTTCAACTGCTAATTATGATGTACAGCTCAGGGTTGGTTGAAAAATGAATACAATACACACTATGTCAGAGACATATCTTTTAATTCTAGAATATTTCAACCCTTTGTAGCACCGCTGTTATTGCGAACATTATCTTTGTCAATAGTTCTACATGTAGTTTATAAGTAGAAATGCTCCGGACAAATATTTTGTCCAATATACAACACAATAATACACAACATAATACATAAAGTCTACAACTTAACAGGCATTTTGTGACTCTTTCCTTGGTCTGTGTCTTTAAAATTAAACAAGCACCAACATCAAGAATGGGGTACATAGTACTGTAACAGTACCCACTATAGTTGCGCTATTACATAATACAGCTTTTTTACTGTACAAATCTTAAACATGATGACATACTTATGATAACAATATGATAACAACATTTGTAAAAAAAAAAAGAACACCATTTTATGAGTATCAAAGCGTTCATGGAATGTAGTGCAAAATATTATGAAAACCTGACTTCATTCATGTTCTAGAAAGTACCAATTTGAAGTAATGATTACCAACAAGTCAAACCCCAAAAAAGTCTGGATTGAGAAAATTAGAGTAGCACTGTAGATATGAAAAGTTTTGCAGTGATTTTAGTTTCACGCTTTCTGGTGATCTTGATTCTACAACAAATTCATGCCACGCTACGAATATTCTAGATTCTTTCCCCTATATATTGTACGCAATCTAAAGCACATTTCTAGACAAGAACATTACCACAATTTATCAAGGTTTTCTCATCATATGCATCAGTTGTTAATTTGCTGTTCAGTATTCTTAAGTAGTGTCGTATCCATTTTGGGTCCACACACACACAGCTACTGTAAGGCCACACCAATTTAATTTGTTGGTTCTCTGATTTTTTTCAGAAAAATATGAAGCGATAGGGCGAAAAAAATGAAGATAAAAACAGGTCTAGGCATCCTATTATAGCCCCAAATGCAACGATAGGAACCATGAAGTCAACACAAAAGGCTGGGTAAATATTTAAACAATGAATTTTTAACTTTTAATTAATTGATAGATGGAAAAACTGTAGGCCCTAGGAAGAAAAGGACTTTCCTAAACTGTCAGGGGCAAAATATGAGCATATTTTAGTTGATCCAGAACCAGAATCTTTTTTTTTTTGCAAATCAGAAAAAAATGAAGAGGTGAATCCGAGAACCAACAAATTAAATTGGTGTGGCCTTAACTGCGGATATTTGTTAGAATTTATCTTACAATTGCATCCTATAAGCTAATGTTTTGCTGAGCTAATATTAAATCTAAGTTGTCATGTCTGTTGAGTACTTTTTGTTAGAAGTTTTAGAAGTTATCTATAGGTAGTCTAAACTGTGATAAGAAACAAAAATAAAACAAAAAAACAAAACAATATACTTAACGCTGTTCATTTGAAATTATATTTTAATAACTGAGCTTTATCTGTACTCAGTATATACAAACTGTATGGCTGTATGCATCTATGCCAATTATCAAAACTGAAGATTTTTGCTTTAAAAAGTGCTGTTTTCACTGCATGTCACATAATTTTAAGCATATCTGAACCATCACTAAACCTTCTTTTCCACCGTGTTTCCCAAAAATTTATGCACCGTACCGTACCCATTCCTACACCAAGCACTTGCCATCACACTGTATAACCCACAATTTTTAGCATCGCTATACCAACAACTTGTTTACACTGTATACCCAACTATTTTTAGCATTCATGTACCACACATTTTTCTTACTGCATATCCTATAACTTCTTTATACCTTTAAACTGTATACCCAAAATTTTCTCTCTTTAATATCATGTTAACGTTTTTTAACAGCAATATGCAAAATCTGTTTCTTATTTTTTGCCACAGGATATCATAATTTATTTTCAAATAAGAATTTTCAGAAACGCTTTTGAATACCAATTTATTACTGTATCAGTGACACATTAGTGCATATAGTCACCATTTAAGAAACAAACGTTAGTGTTAGTTTTAACTTCATTCAACATGTTATACACTAAGCAGAGTAGTTCATACTACATTTTTTGTTACTTACTTTCAAACACTACAAGAATGTTTAACTGACCATTAATGTATTCCACTATATTGTTGAGCTTTTTTTTAAAGTTTGTAACATGGACTATTTATTCAGTAAATTTGCATGTTAGTTGGTAACAATTCACGTTAAGACTCTGTTTATTTTTTTATTTGAATTAGTGAATATATATATACACTTGTAAGACAGAAAATAAATGTGTATTACTAATACTATAATTGCAATGATTTCACCCAACTTTTAAATTTTATCTTACTTTCTTTCTCTACTTTTTAGAAATAAACATACATATCTGTTCGAAACATTTCCTTATATGCATAAAAAAACAAATGTAAACATTTTTATATGCAACATACAATATACACATAGGTTCTTAACATACATTTGTGTTTGACAACACTGTGTCTCAAATACTCCCTGCAAACCAACTAATATTCTATGGACTGCAGAAAAAATTGTGCACATTTCAATGCAAACCCTAAGGGGAAGCGTACAAACTGTATGAGGACTTATCACCAGATATTTTGGATCTCATCTTCTTTTTCTTCGGGGACAAATTATGCTTGTTATCATGCAAATTATTCCAGTTTTATGCAGTTTCCAAAACAGTCCATGTAACCTGGGTACCATCCAGATTTTTGCTCTGCACCGATCGAAAAAATTTCGGATGGTATCCAGGCTACAATACAACGAAATAACAAAGATTGAAAGCAGCATATCGTACACGTTTTTGGCTGAGGCCAAACAAATCCTTCTACATGTCTGAATGAACAAACAAGTAAACAAACAAAACAAAATAATAACAAGACTACCCAATGTTACATCCTAGGGCGATGTGGACCAATCCCTGATGAACAGTTCCTGATGGTGTTCCAACAATCTCAGAGTGAACACGTTGATTGGTCCGAGCGACGTCAGCGAAGCCGCCTGATTGGTCGACCAGAGGAGGTTGGGCCCGAACACGATACTCAGGTTCTGGGCGGTCATCTTGTTTTCTTCGCTGTACAGAATGACCTTGGGAGGAAAAAATGAAATGAAGCAAGGTGAATCTTAAATCGAGTGTGTGAAAAATTTTTCTGTTATCATAAATTCAAAGTAGTTTTACCGCCATATACGTTTGCTTGTGCTTTCATAGTTGTATCCAAATGCTAGACATGTGGGTGACACTAACAGGAAGTTACATGTAGGTCAATGGTTCAAGAGAAGGCTATCTAATACCCTGCCTTCAAGTCCTGCTATATTCATGTCTGTTGCCTAATAAGGGAGCTAGTGGGCTAAAATGTATAGACAGAAAAAAACTTCAAAATCTCAAACAGACAGACCAAAAACAATACCTCCCTGTGAGCCGTGCATACTTTTTCTCCGTACGTTTTTTGGGAGGCCACGTCTGCTACGTTTTTCTGAAAACGTGGGGAAGGAGTGGTGTCGATACGGCACGCCACGTCTGGCCGTGAACCGCGCAAGTGGTAAGTGAGTCGTACGTGCTTACAACGTACGATCTGCAACTTTACCGTAAGGAGGCCGTACTCACACATGTGTTTTATGTACAGTACGTACGGGGCACGCGCGTCGCCCATACTCGCATGTACGGGTGGTGAATCCGCAGACCGCACGTAGAAAAAGTTTTACATGCACTTAAAGTTCTACGGCGTGTCTGCGTGCTCCCAAATCCATACGCTCCGTACGGAGGTGGTACTCACCACTTACGGATGCCCTACGTTTGCCCACGCTTTTGCACGTAGACAGCACGCAGATGCACGTATGGCAGGTTGTGACCAAGGCTATAGTAGGCTCTTCCATTGACCCTATGCCATGGAATATCTCTAAACTGTCACACTGTTGATAAAGTACTAATTCCGGCACCACTGAAATTTTACTTCCTGTTATTGAGGAAACCCTAACTATACTTTCTGTCACTTTGCTGTAAACATGACTACCATATTATGAAAAATACTGAATGTAGAAACACAACCTGACACAATGAAAACATACCTCCCTTCTTACGGAGGTAACAATGAGATGATGACTACACACCTCTTCAAGGAAGTCCACCAGGTACTTGAGGACAACGTAGTTGAGCTCCGGCAGCTTTCCACTGATCAGTTCCTTAGTAGCCATCAGTCTGTCATTGCCATCCAACTCTCCTGTAAACACAAACATCACAACAACATAACATAAACAAAAACATCAACACACAAGAGTACACAAAAACAAGAAATCAGACATTCAAGGCTTCTGGTAAGTGTTTTGGGCCTTTGAAAGTGTATTAGAAGAGTGTAGGGGATGGTATGATGTAATCTGATACTGTGATAGTGAAATACTATTACACCTCTTCCTGAATTCCTCCATATACCAACAAGACAGCATGGGTCACCTTCAGGCTTGACCCTCTCAATTGAATATCAAAACCACCCCCTTCTCTCCATTCAACTGTCACTACTTAATTGAACAAGAAACACACAAACTCACAAGTCAGCCACCCAAAGCAATACTTCCACACCCGGAAGATATGACATGAACTGTGACTGACCATGTATTCTCATGACCTCGTCGTACAGTTGGAAGGTGATCAGAGGTTCCGGCATCTCGCGGAGGAACGTTTTCAAGATGGCGGCAGCGAGGTGTGGGTCTCCCAGCTCCGTCCAGTTCACTGTCCTGCCTAGAGATTGTATGGTAAACAAGATGTTACAATATGTAGAATATATTATCATGTATAGGTCAGGGTAGAGATTCAGTAGTGTGGAAGGGCTGGGTGGCTAGGCTAGCGGACACAAGATTGATAAGTTACGGGTTCGATTCCTTGCATTCCTGTTTAGACATTGTGTCATTAGGAATTAGGCTCTTTACCAAGTTTCCACACTCCACCCAGGAAAAAAATGGGTGCCTGACTGTAGTTCAGGCCCAGGTAAAAGGCAGTGGAAGGAGAGGAAGCCCTCCAATACCCTGCCCTAGGAAACATGTATTAACAGCCCACCTAACTATGGCTTCAAAATGGCTATGGGAACTTTACTTTTAACTCAGGTTTACAGGGTAGAGGTTGCATAGTCGGGTGATGAACTGTCAAAAAGCTAACTGAATATGATATGGGATACATTGGAAAATGTACTTTCTTTCCTTCTTAAACAATATACGTTTTACAAGTACGTGTATCAATAACACTAATACACACACACACACACACACACACACACACACACTGTACCTACCTTCATTATACATTTTCTGCACTTCCTTCACCATCTTCGCATTAGCAGATCTTCTGAAGATTCCCTCAACCTCCACACCTGGGGGAAATTTGTCAACAAAATACAATAACACAAAATGTTGTCCAAAATAGAAATAAATAGTTTACATAAGTCTGGGCAGTATCAGTATGTGGAAACAATTATGTCTTTCAAAAACTGTAAATGAAATTACATGTTAGTCAAATAGAAGTCCTAAAATGTCCCAAGTTAGTAATGTACAGGTAAGCTTCAAAATGATAACATGCGAGCTTAGAATAATCAAGTAAACCCCTACAGTGTAAAACAACAGAACCTGTCCTTGGTGCTGAAAAGACTGTCTATCAGGTAAGATATCAGAAACACTGCATAACTCCAGCTGTACCTGCACTAACCTGCATATGCATGTGGGATTTCCAGTCTTCTTAAGCCCTCACAGTCTAGTCCCACACAGCTTGTTCTTACTGTACAAAACTGGTGGGTTTTTGCCTTGAGGCAGTTTTCTTATAATGTGGGGTCGTGTGGCGTAGTTGGTATCGCATTCGGCTCACACGCAAGAGGTCGCGGGTTTGAATCCTGCCCACGTCACCGAACTTGTGCCCTTGGGAAAGGCACTTTACACGACATTCCTCACTTCACTCAGGTGCAAATGAGTATCTAGCTTTGGTAAGGGACGTCCCTCGGATAGGACGTTAAATGGAAGTCCCGTGTTTGGGGAGAGCCACACCCCACGCATTTTAAAGAACCCACCACACTTATCAAAAAGAGTAGGGGGCCTTCCCAGTGTGAGTGGTTCAAACCTTGCAGTCCGGTCTTACGCAGCTTGTACATGTACGTACATGTACAAAACTGGACCAGGTGTGTTACGCCTAATGGCAGTTTACCGGTTATGCGAAACAAACGAAACAAACAAAAAGAAAAAAAAACAGACAATACAGACCATGTTGTCTGAGGTATGTTGTAGTCTCTCGCATGACTTTAGGTAGAGGCTCTCCTTGGTTGTGGATCTTCAGACTACAGATAAAACAACAAACATCAGATTCCAAACCTCCAAGAAGTGTATATCATGCATAATGTTCACAACAACTGCTGATAATTTCAGAAATCGCATTAACAATTTCAGTAAAGCTAAATTAAAAGATGGGTGATGTACTGAAAATCAAAGAAATTCATGAAACCCATCGTGAGTTATAGCTTTGAACACACAACATGACCGAAAACAATTCCCGTGGAAGGATATCTTCTTCCCCAAAGGTAACAAGAAATCGTAAATTTCAAAGAAGAAGCTGTGGTGTATTTTTTTCATAATTTTGGTACAAATAGGAGAACACACGCTATGAACCAATTGATCAAATTGGCATGAACAAACTATAACATAATTCTACAACTTTTTCTTACAATTCCAGGGTGACTCCAAACTGTTGCGTTGGGCGAGGTTGTTCATCTGTAGCGTCCGGTGACTGGCGGTAAAACGTACTGGTCGATTTCGGCTTGTTCCTCTCCAGTAGTCTCTTGTCATGTCTGTAAAACAAGGACGACAAGAAATCAGACATTTCAGACTTCTGGAAAGTGGTATTTTGAATTTTCATGGTCCATTTTGTGTATCTGACCTTTGACCTCCAGTCATTCTGCCTGCCAATCATCCCCCATGCACCCACATGCTGTCAACCTACTCTGTCTGGACAAAGACACACACATCAACCTACGTACGAGCTATCCAAAACAATACCTGGAAGTTATTTTGAAAGATAAATAATTGGCAAATCAACTAAGCTGGTTTGTTACGCTGAGGGGTGGTTATACCGCCTATACAGATACAGATAAACTCCACTCTTGTGTGGATAAACTATTGGGCAATGGTACAAAACAGCATCAAAATATTTCTGTTTATCACTTACTCTAGCACAGGCTGTGGGACCTCCAGTTGGTCGAAGTACAGATGTTCCTTCAGTTCACTCAGTAGGTTCACATACATGATCTTCCGCCCAAACTTCACACTGAAACACAAAAATACATTTATAGTGCCCTTAAACTATTTTTGACATACCAATTAAAATTCTCCTATTCATAATTACATTCATAATTTTTCACCCACCTGATTATAGGTTTAAAGATTTTCCAGAGAATCTTGATAAAGTTGGTTGGATGGACGATATACAGGGCCTTCAAGTTCTTCTTGTATCTGTAAAATACAAGAAAGCGGCAAGGTGGTCTCATGGTTAGAGTTTTTGACTTAGAATCTAAAGTTTCTGGGTTCAAATACATGTACCTTACAGATGGTTTGCATGATTATAAAAAATTCTGATTTGTTTGAGTCATCAAAGTAATAAAAACATATTTGTGAAGTATTAAAAGTTGCTGTGAATTTCTTATGTAATTCATTTCTCACTGATTCTAAGCATATTTCACTGTCCCTTCCCCCCAGCCTACATTTTTGACCTTCCTGCCAATCTGTAGTTACACCCCCTCACTTCCTATGACTCTACTGTAGTCAAATAAATACAAACACACAAGCAAACAAGCAGACAAACACACATAAAACAAAACCTCCGTACACAGAGGTAAAAACTAGGAAGGAGACCTACTTCCTGTCAAACTCCCTGTAAGCCTGCACGAGCCACTTGAAGTTGGGCTTGTTCTGACTGTTAAGTCCGTAGTGGAAGTACACCAGGACATAGTCATTCTCCACATACTGGTCCAGGGTCTGGCGAAGGTACCTAAAACAAGGGTAAGATTATAGGCGTGAATCGTTTCATCAGGTTGGGAAGTCACTGGATAAAGAGACTCTTTTAAAATTTACACAACAAGTTTTATTCAGCCAATGTGTCAGAGACCGTCTGTCACCTTCCTCGGGGTAATTCTGACTGGTTCACATTGCACTGCAGCACAGGTGTTGCTGTATTCCCAAACACATATCTACATGTTTACAGGGAACAGTAGCTTGGATGGGACATAAAACAGAGGCCTCGTGTTTGAGGAGAACCAACCACATCTCGAGCATGTTAAAGCATTGAGCATACAATGCACAGCACTTCTAAAAAGAGATACATGTATGGGATCCATCTCAAGATGAGTCAAGTTGAGTGAGCATTTGTATGAATGAATGAATGAATGGGTCATTTGATCATTTTGATCGAGGCTATTTGAGCATGTGGTAGCCATAGGCTCAATTGCATACATTTTACATGTTTAAAACTGTTGGCATTAGGCTTTTTACCGATTAGCAATTATATATCTAGATCTTGTATAGGTGTAAAGTTGACTTGTACCAGTGCGTACCCCAGAAGTCTTTGATGGTCCAGTTCCTTACTAGGAGGTAATCTACAGCAGCTGAATATGATCACCTTCCTACCATAACTGTCATCACCTGAAATATAATTGAAATACATGTTATTAGATATCCAATGTGGTAATGAGATATACAAAAATTATATTTTATATACATATTTTATATTTTATATACATGTATTAATTAAAAGCAACAAAGCAAGTGAATAGCTTTTAAAAATCTATGCAGTTGCTTGACTTACAGTTTCCTTGTGTTATGTTTTTACTTCTTAAAATACAGATTTTTTTACTGTAAAACAGTAACATTGAATGGTATTGTTCTATACCTAATATATAAAGACTTAGATTATTTCCTCATACATATGGCATAATTTGACAAGACCTATAATGTATATGTTTTTGGAAGCTGCTTTCATAACTACGTGTTTTATATATCCATGCTTCTGTGGAAATATTTCTTCCCTAATAACCTACTTCATGGCTACTCATATCATATATTAATTTTATCTTTTTTTTTAAATATTCTATAATTATAAACTTTAACTGTTCTACAAAACATGTATATCATTAGTATTCACTGAGCAACATTAATGTCAATATGTCATGATGTTAAAATGGACCCCCATGGTGAAATGTTAGAGTCCAAACTGACCGGCCAGCTCTACTATGGAGTGTTTGGCCACATCACTGAAGTCTTCTACAGGGATGGGTCGCGCCACTGGAGCGGGGGGTGCAGGGGGGAGGGGCAGGTCGGTAGGACGGGGGATGGTCCCGATCGCCCCTCCCTCTGCCTCCTTAGCAGCTTCTTCAAGATCTGAAGAAGAAGAAAACACAGAGAAACATGGAAATGATGACATTCCACACATTTTCTTGCCAAGGCCACACCAACCTATTTCATTGGTTCTCAGATTTGCCTGCTCCATTTCAAAAATTTTTTCTGACCTGCAAAAAAAAAAACAAAGTATTCTGTTTCTGAATCTATTCCCAAATGCTCACTATTTTGGCCCCAACAGTTGAAGAAAGTCTTAAGTTTGTCTTCTTAGTCGTTACAGTTTTTTTATCTATCAATGCAGTGGTTTGATTAAAAGTTTAAAATTCACTGTTTGAATTATAAACTAGCCTAGTACAGTGTCACCAATCTATAAGGCAAATCTACATCTACATATAAGATTGTATAATGCTAAATGTCCTACAGTTTGATATAGCACTCAGGTATTAAGAAATTTTCCCAGGCATTATTTATCAAAATTAATAAATCTGGTTAATGAATAAACAGCTCTGCAAGAGAATGATATGAGAATCATAAATAGAAAATGTCAGAACATTGATTTTGAATGTTTACTATTGATGTTGAATATCAATAGTAAACATTATTATCAATGATTGGAATATTGCTACAGATGTGATATATGATAAGCAAAATCATAACATGTTACAACACAAAAAAACAACTTATAGGTTGTCAAATATAAAAATGCAACACAGGATAAATGTTATATTATTAGTCAAAAAGTGCAACAACCAAAATAATAACAACAAAACATCGCAGTCAAACAATTCAAACTGATTTATCCCATCAAACACTGCAAACAACTGATAGCAAAAAGTGCAGTTGCTGATTAAAAATGCATTGTTGTCTTGCAAATGTCAGCAAAACAGTGATACTTATTTCCACACATGGAAATTTGGTTCTAAATATATTTTTCCTGCCTTTTCTTCTCCTGCCTATCTTGAGTCTCCTCTGTTTGCCTGAAATAAAACCAACACAAAGTTCCAAACGAAAAATTTAGTCTAGAATTTTCAAAATCTGAAGATTTTAGAAATCTGACAATTTGAAATCTATATAATCTACGAAATCTATGAAATCTCAATTACTATATAAAAAAACACCTGTACTAGTACTAAATGTTGCCTTCACAACATAGTGATATTCAATTTCAAATTCAAATTTCAAATCAGACAAACATAAATGCTATGTACTATATCATACAGGTATCTACTAAATGTATCAGTATACATGTATGTATATGCATGATAACTTGTGTCAATATTGACTTGAAAAATTATAAAGCATTTATTACAAACTAAATTTACCTAACATTACACAGTGACTTAAAATTGAAACTGATTTTTTTCGACATTTCTCTACAAAAGACAGTGTATACCAGAAACTGCAATGGTTTGATTAAACAAAGGTTTCACCTTTTCCCAAGAGTGCGCTATAAATAGTATCCCAAATCATCAGTATCTACTGCTGATCAATTCTACCGGCTGGTAAAATCAATAGCAACATTTTTCACACGTCGCCGTCTAAAATGTCGGGAGGGCAAAAAGACTGGATGTATAGATTTTTGTGTAACAGCTTTTGACCACGAATACAGATTTGATGCTTTGATAATAATTATTCTGGAATCAGCAAAAAAAAATCAACAGCATTAATATTTAATAATTCAATAGTATTCAATATATTTTACATCTTTTTCATTATTTAAAAAATTTTTATTTTAGTGAAATCTTGACTGTTTCTTTATCTTTTCTGGGCTGGTATCAGATACTTAGTGGTTGGCACATACACCAGTTTATTAGTCATTTTGTAAATCATGCATATACTCTGGGCAATTTTTACCTATCTTCCACTTCCAGTGACACTCATGCATAGGTTTCTTTTCATTATTAATTAGAATAGTTATGCTATGCCTCACGGAAAATGCATACATCTAGGTAGAATAACTGGAATGAAATTACAGACAAGACACAAACATGACACATGAGTACTTAGACCGTCCGTAGCATATAAATTATTTCTGCCCAACTAACAAGCCTGGCTGCCAATTTGGGACAGGCACCAAATTAAATTACGTGTGCGGACTACTATATACTGGACACACTGTAACTCAATCAATACTCGCCCAGCTGGGAGCACTTGTTTTATTTATCCTCTAATGATCTGAAAAGATCTAGCTTATTAGACATCAGGGAAATTAGAACTAGCAGCCAACATGCTTCAAATTTGATGTATTTCGCTGAATACAAAGATTTTACTCCAATTTCTAACAGAAAAATTTTTAACTACAAAATCTTTAACTAAAAATTTTTTGTTAAAATTTTACACGCGGATATAAAGAATTCATTTCTAAATAATGATTAAGGACAAATTTTTAATTAAAACTAATAAAATGTTGTTTATAAATTTTTAACTACTAGTAAACAATTTAAGTTTAAATTTTACGTTACAATCAAAATATAACAAATTCCTCTCTGAATTTCAGTAAGTGAGTAGATTTTGTATCAGAGCTGACCAAGACCTCTGTCTATTTGATTATTTAAGAGCATTTGGAGTGTCTTCGGTCTAGAAAGGTTTTCAGCCCTTAAAACATTATTCAAGACACTATATCATTATCAGGGCTTGATCTCAAAATACAAACTACAGTAAAAACCACTGTGCTTCAAATACATCATCACAAAATATCTGCCCAAAAAACATATAAGAAATTATTTGAACTATTGAACAAAATTACAGAATTGCAAACGTTTAATCGTTATGCTTACTTTTTGGTTATAATTTATAATTCTATAAGTCACAAGAAATTTTTCTACTTGTACACAGCTGAAGCTCTTAAATCAAATTTCTTAAAGTTAAACTAATTGACAAGATGTTCCTAGTGTCAATGAGAATTTGTTTTAAAAAGAAACCGATGAGTAACTGATTCTGTCAATAAGATTAAGAATCTTGCACTACTGACAGGAATTGTCACTAAGTTAGGAACCAGTCAAAAGCCAAGGAATGCAACCAATCAGATCTTATACATGTAACAGTTATCATCCTTTGAAAGTTTGATAATCTTATGGATAACACTTCACATTAAAAACATCACATTACCCTAACATACAATCCTAAGGATGTTCCTGTAAATGATGCAAAACTAAGACTTAATCAACGTTTCAAAGCTGGAATAATTGGTATGTTTTGTATATTGATTGAAGTAAATTCCTGCACATGTATTCAAGATTTTTTCCTGTGACTAAATGTTTTTTTTAACATTCATGATGTTCCCACCAAAAAATATAGCCACAGGAATACAAGTATACTAGCTATATGTAAGCGGACAGAAACAGTTACAAAATTGAAGGGGTTTATCTGATTTGCCAATTGGAAAGAGTGTAACATCTAACGTTATGCAAATATTTTTTCCTGGAAATTTAACTTAAAGGTTAACACTTGCACTTCCTGTTTTCATTTTGCTCTCGAAGCAACTGTCAGTGTCATCATATAATTTTACACGCAGCATTTTACATATTCTTTATCATATCTTTGTGTTTTCTTTAGCAGAAAATTTACATATTTGAAAATCCATACTTTTTCTTCAATGGTGTCCGCACTGAAATCTGACAAAAACCGCACCCATTTGTAAAATTCCAAACTAGAAAATAAAATGTCGTACCTCGCTCGGCCGCTTTCTGCATCTCTTCGTCGTCTGGTTCGAAGTCCTGGTACGATCCTGTCGGGCCTGGCATCGCGCTTGGAGCCGTCTCAAACCCGAAGTCGTCCAGAAGATTTGTCGGGGGCGTCTCGGGCTTTCTGCTAGAATCTGTCCCCAAGAAAGCCTGACTCGAACCGACTCTTGCACTTCCGCCGACGCCTTGCCCGGCTCCGGGCGGGTTAGGACCGCTCTCACTGCCGAAGTCGATTAAAATTCCCTCGTCGGACATGACTAGGCGCCTAAGTTGCCGTGAAATGTTGCCGTAAGGTCAGAATTTCCGCAGAAATTGCAGAGTTTTTCTCGATAACACGTTCGACTTGCTTCCTAAACCGCCATGTTTTTGGACCTGACGTCATTTGGCAGACGGGGCGTGCCACTTTTTTCCCAAAATCTGTATCTCATATATTTTCATCCCCAAATAAAAATAATATTATATTCATGTACATAACAATAATCATTCTCAATGTCTTACATTTAAATCGTTTTACAACATAGAATTTACCGAATAATTGCAATATCAAACCAGTGAATAGGCACCCCTACAACGGTAATGGCATGATCTCAAAACCCGGAAGTCACAAGACATTTGAGTTCAAGGGTCGCCTAGCATCCTTCTAAACTTTCTCCCTGCGTCTTTCCTTGCGAAACGACGTCTTACTTCTTCTTAATGTAGCGTATGTAGGAAACACAGAGTACCACCATGCCGATAGCAGCCACTGTCACTACGCGAGAGCTGAGAAACACGGAAACGGGGCTGGATCTGAGCGTTCCCCAAACCGAAGAAATTGCTGGTAACAGTCTACCAAACAGGTGTTAGAAAAAGGGGGCGTATCCTTGGCGTTGTCAAATTTTGAATTGAATTTTTTCGTGTTATTGAATTGTGTCTATATGCTTCCCGAAGCGTATTTTCTCAGGCTGGCCTGGTAACCATTCAATCGTAAGCATCCCGTGAACTCCTCGGCGCTGGGAGCGCTGTCCGCCCGCCCAGATCGCTTAGTACACACGGGGGATTTTTACGGGGTGGAATTCAGTTATTCTGCTTACAGAAAAAAAGTCGGTTGTCCCGCTTGGAATGGTTACCAGGCTAAGTTTCTAGATATTATGCAATTTATTTCTATGATTATGGGTTGGTGGAAAACGTGATCCAGTCCCTATTTGTCAGGGGGGAGAAAATAAGGCAGTCAAAAACGTTTTTTAGTGTAGTTGCGACCCCTGACAGAAAAAGGTAGAATTGCAAACAGTCTGGTATCCCACTGATATGTTCCTATACATACAAACATGAAGCATTCTTATTCTGAAAATGCACATTTTTATGGAAAATACTAAAGTCAAAAACTAAATGTTTCAGGAACTTTGGCTACCACCACACTGTACCAAACGATCGTCATCACCAATCTTGCCGTCTTCAAGAGCCCAAAGCACAAGGCAAATGATGTGGTACAGTTCATGTGCAGCCACAAGTATGCTGAGTTTGAAGGCAAGTTTACTTCTTTTTATTCTTCAAACCTCTTCTGAGTCAGACATAACCATACAGGGAGGTGACAATAGTAGCATGGACTCAGGGTCCTTCAACGTGAAAGTCTTTCTTCCTAAACCTAAGAATGATCACTCACACTCACTCACTATCCGGGTTACCTAAGAATGATAAAAATAACACATGTGAATAAGATAAAAACAATGTCTTAAATGCTAATTAAAAATCTTCTTGCAAAATGGGTAAAACTTTTTCTAACATCAGGAATGAATGAATGAATGATGGATAGATGAATAAAGGACTCACTGAATTGATGGATGGACAGATGAATGGATTCATGAGTAAATGACTTAATGAATGAATAGATTTAATGGATGGATGGATTGATAGATGAATGGATGTATGTATTAATGAATAAATAAATGGATGAATAAATGACTCAATGAATGGATGTACGAATGAATGAACAAATGAATGAATTAATGAATGAACAAATGAATGAATGAATGAATGAATGAATGAATGAATGAATGAATGAATGAATGAATGAATGAATGAATGAATGAATGAATGAATGAATGAATGAATGAATGAATGAATGAATGAATGAATTTTTTTGTTCAAAACTTTCGGAAAGGTCAGAAAATCAAATGTTTTTCTCCCCACAGCTCTGCACAAGAGTCTTGATGAGAAGTTTTCCGGTACAGCATTACCCACCCTGCCCTCCCGCATGGTTCTTAAGTCCTCAGCTGCCGTTACCAAGGAGAGAAGAAACGCGTGTGACACCTTCCTCAGGTTCATCGCAAGGACTCCCAAAATGGCGACCAGTCCTGAGGTCTGACCATCCTCTACATTTAGAATATTTTGTCACTGAGGAATATTTTCTTTAAATCTAAATTTATCTAAAAAATAAGAGAAAGGCCCAAAACCTAGCATGTATCTGTGCAGCATGTACATGTACATGTAAGTCCAGGTGCAACTAAAAGTCTAGCTAAAAGCACCACACAGTGCCTATCATTGGTACTGCAGGCTGTAAGATTAAGAATTTCCCCAATTTTTTTACAAATCTTACAGTAGTAGCTGTAGCTAAATCCAACTATAATTGAAAAATAGTTTTACCATTCTTTCTGACATAATGCTAGTAATGACTTCAATTGCTTCTCAATTCAAAATCAAGCAAAATACTTTCTTTTCCTTGGAAAAAAAGAAGTAATTGAATTTTCTTCCTCTTTTACAATTGGTTCATGGAAATTGCCAAAAAAGTAAAGAAAGGCTTTTCATTTCTATCTAACAGCTTTTGGAGTTTCTTGGTGTCAGCAAGTCCAAGTCCACCTACTACTTAAGAAAAGCCGAGGCCAAGATCACACCTTCTCAACCAGAAAAGAAAGAAGACATCTTTGAGGAAAAGTTCCATCCCTCGGATGAAGATTCGGCCAAACCTGAAGACGATCAGAACTTGCCAAAAAAAGTTGACATCTTCGGAGGCGATGTTGGAGATGATTTGGATGTAGATCTCTTCGGACAGACGTCAACGAGTACAACGGTAGACGACGATTTGTTTGGGGCGGCGCCCGTCAAGACCGGTAACGTCACGAGGTCACAGGGGGTCAAGTTGTTCGAAGAAGAAGACGAGGACCAAGAGTTGTTCATTCCCGAGGGAGCTCGGGTAGAAACTAAACCAGAACCTACTGTACAGGTTCGTTTATTTGCTTGTTTTGTTGTGTTTTGCTGTGTTGAATTTTAGTAAAAAGGTCAACCATGTATGTGTGTATATAAAGTTTTCTTCTTTGAGAAATCTTTACATGTACATATATTTGTTTTCCCTCATGCAAGACATACAGTTGTTCTACTGTGTGTAAAACTGCAGTAACTAAAGCACCAGTCAGTGATGCCCTCTAGTGATGCATGTGAAAACTGCAGTGCAGAACCACCTACTATCAATTTGTATTTAATTTGTCCCAGCAGGTTGAAGATAACACTGATCTCCTCACCATCGAAGACGACCTGGACAAACTTCTCAGCATCTCCAAAGAGAAACCAAAACCATCGCCAAAACCTCGCCCCGTACCTGCGCCAAGACCGGGCAAGAAGCCACCGACCGCGCCCAAACCGAACTTAACGAAAACAGCCCGTTCTGCTGACGATCTACCTGGAAGTGACGTCAGTGCTGTAGAATCTATGGGTGATGATGACATCATGAAGTACATTCAGATGGAGTCCAATCAACAAGAGGATGATCTAAATCTTTTCTAAATCATCTTAGAGACCAAAACAATACCATAACTTGTAAGTCATCAGTCTAAAGCTTCATTATGTAACATTAGGATGATACAAAAAGTCAATTTTCTCCAGTCATTTCTTTACAAAGTAAGTTGAATCAACCCTACTCCATTGCAAATAAGGGCCATTCATGGAGTGGAGGTGCCAAAAAGATGATTACGAGTGTGTTTAAAAGCTGGAAATACAGCTCTCAGCCAGTTTGTTTACATTCTGGTAGTTTGCGGTGGTACCACAAACTCAGTGCACCTAATGTGGGCTGTTTTAACCATGCCATAAATGTCAGAAATGTTAGGTAATTGCACCAATATGTTGAAAAGGGGAAGTAAATAACAATAACATGAAGATTCTTTTAACTTAATTTGGTGCAAAATGTTTAACTTACATATATAATGCCATTCTTGTTTGTAGTTTTTAACAATATGGAAAAGGTACAATGTAAGAGGGTCAGTTTTAGATATTCTTGTTGATAGAAAAAGTTATCAAAGTGCATATCTGTTTTAATAGTTTTACAGAGACACTCTTTAAACTTTCTCAAGTTGTGCAAATTTTATTTTGATAATTCAGAATACATTGCAATTGAAGAATAGATTGTTCCTTACAATAGACAATGCAATTATAGAATGTTATGGAGATTTTCGATTAAATAATGAATACAATATGCTCCTTGTATGAATTTTATTCAGCACCAAGGACAGGCTTATTCACCTGTGTGTGGATGGTGTTCAGCACCAAGGACAGGCATGTTTACCTGTGTGTGGATGGTGTTCAGCACCAAGGACAGGCATGTTTGCCTGTGTGTGGATGGTGTTCAGCACCAAGGACAGGCATGTTTACCTGTGCGTGGATGGAGTTCAGCACCAAGGACAGGCATGTTTACCCGTGCGTGGATGGAGTTCAGCACCAAGGACAGGTATGTTTACCTGTGTGTGGATGGTGTTCAGTACCAAGGACAGGCGTGTTTCTTGAGTGTGGATGGTGTTCAGCACCAAGGACAGGCATGTTTACCCGTGCGTGGATGGAGTTCAGCACCAAGGACAGGCATGTTTACCTGTGTGTGGATGGTGTTCAGCACCAAGGACAGGTATGTTTACTTGTGTGTGGATGGTGTTCAGTACCAAGGACAGGCATGTTTACCTGTGTGTGGATGGTGTTCAGTGCCAAGGACAGGCATCTTTACCTGTGTGTAGATGGTGTTCAGTACCAAGGATAGGTATGTTTGCCTGTGTATGGATGGTGTTCAGCACTATTAATAGGAAGTGGTGATCAAAACATTTTTATAAAATTGTACTATCATTCTGATATAGTAGGGACTTTTAAACAACACACGCTAAATTAACACATTGTCAAGTAATCTCTGTTTATTCTTCAACAATATGCATATGCAAAAGTGCCCACAAAAAAGTCATATAATTAAAATCTAAAACATGAAACAAGTCTACAAAGAATATCATACTAATGATTGCTTCAACTAGCCATGTACATTGCAGCATAATTTTCATTTTAGTTCATATATATTGAAGCCCCTGTGGTATCATATCATATGTTGTTTTGAACTTTCAAGATTTCTAATATTCTTTCCTATTTTAAGTTCTAAAAATGTGTGGTCAACATTAAGTTGAACTGTGAATATGCTTAAGACACATTAAGCTTAAATGAATGTTTATGGGCACATGTATATGCATATACTACATGAATGACAGTGAATTAAACTAGCATAATTATTATGAAATGCCACCTCCCTTTTAAAAATGAGGTCTACTACATTTAACATAAGACCTGTATTTATCAATACATTTCACTATGCCAGACTTTCCACTTTTTTTACATATATTTTATACATCTTAAGTTTGAAGTCTTTGAATTTTATATCATGTTGAAAGAATTGCATTTTTTTGCAGAAAAACGTCTCGAGATATTATAATGCTTAGAGATTCTTTTTAATTCTGAGAAAAATTAAGTTAAAGAAATCACAGCTACTACATTGATCTCTGACCATTCTGCCTGTCAATCTTCCCCACCCACCTACACTGCCCAGACAAACAGGCACACAAACCCAGCGTTTAGCCACCCAAAACAATACTTCCATACCTGGAAATATGTAATTACACAGATACCCTGTCTACTATAATACACATGTGGCTGAGTCAGCTATCATAATTTTGCTAATGATATTTATAATGATAATTATACAGCAATTGCAACAGAAAAAAAATTAAAATTAGGAAGAATTGATAAAAAATGCTTAGCATTAACTTACTACATTCTGTTCCATTCTTAACAATTTTAAATTTCATCGTTGAAGAGGTTCATCAGTCACGTAGAATTAACAGTTAGTAGAAATTCTTCAATCAGTGACTGTATTTAAAGGTAAAAACACGTACCTCCAAATTTTCGGTGTCGACTGTACACCTTTCTCAAGGAGTGACCTAGTCTCG